TGAGTTTCTTCCGTCAACACAACGGAAAACAATATAAAAAAGCATGTTTTTTTTTTCTGCTGAAGGGCCCCCCTGGATCCGCCCTTGGGGGGTGGCTGGTGGGATTTTGTGAATCGTAAGTAAGTAAAACAATGTATGACCCCTTTACCAACCCGATTTTTTACGCGGCCCCATATAAAACAGGATAATTTTATTAGAAACTTTCTTTTTAAGTAATTATTTTTGGGCCTAAATCCCACCAGCCCTTTAATGCCAGTAAAAAATAAACGGTTTCTTATGCCTCCTGTATATATTAGCAAGGGCGGATCCAGGGGGGGCAAAGGGGGCTTGAAGTCCCCCCTTCAGCAGAAAAAAAACGATGCTTTTTTATATTGTTTTCCGTTGTGTTGACGGAAGAAACTCAATTAGCCCCCCCTAAACTCAATTAGCCCCGCCCCTAAAATTTTGGCTGGATCCGCCCTTGATTAGAGGGTAGAGCACATGCGACCAAGTGTCGTCAAGTGGACTGACTTGAGTGCTTTAACTGCTTTAGATTCTCACTGACAAGAACGAAAGATAACTAAAACTTACTATCCATGAGTTCAGCATGAGGATAACGTCTGGCTATATCTCTGACCATGGATTGTGTGCAAGCCAAAGCGACTTCGTATTCAGGCACGCCTTCTTTAATCACGTCTACACCAGCCTCACAGCCCAGATCACAAACAGCTGCACCTTGTTTGATGTGTGCTATCTCCTCATCAGATTTGATCATTCTCATCTTCATCGTTGGATCCCCTACATCCAGTAAATCCGCCTTGGGCAACGCTTCCTTGAATTTGTTGAAGCTTACCAAGTTAACGTGGTCGAATTCTAATCCTATGGTTTTGAATTCTCCGGCGAGGTGGTTGACCACGTTGAAATAGTTGTCTTTTTGCCAGTCGGTGTAGATAACGTTGTCCCCATACGTTCTTCGCCATGGTTGACCGTAATCAATATCTTACAACAAGAAATAAAAACATTTTAGATTCTGCCTAATAAATGTAAAAGACCCTTGTAGGTTTGGCGTAAAGTTTCCCTATTTCAGACCACGTGTCATTCCCTTGAGTATTATTAATTTTCTAGATCCAGTTACTTTGGGCAATYACATGTCATTCCCTTGAGTATTATTTCTTTTATAGACCCTTTTTATTTTGAGTATAATTTTTCCTTATTTCAGACCACGTGTTATTCCCTTGATTATCATTTCTTTTAAGCCTGGTTCTTACTAGCGACGCAAGCCGACTCAAGCACAAGAACAAGCAAACACAAGAAAAAAATCGTTCGTCTTCTTGCGTTTGCGCCGCTTTTTTCATAGTGAGAACATGCATTAGCTTGGAGTTGCGTCTGCTATGCTTTCGTTGGCTTGAGTCCACAGTGAGAACCAAGCTTCATAGAACCTTTGGTCTGAATTATTTAAAAAAAATATTAGGCCCAAAGTTACAGCGCAACGCGCAAAAGTGTGACCACATTTAATGTATTCGCTGAAACTTCTATTCAAGGGTACTGTACGTTAAACTGACATATTGTGATGCGAAACTGGCTAGTTTAACCTAATAAGGCGTGTAAACGCTAGTTTGGCAGGAAAAAGCCCGTGAATACATTAAATGTGGTCACACTTTTGCACCTTGCGTTGTAGGGGTGGATTGGAAAACATTGCTTCCAAAGAGGACTATACTTACTCGCAGATACACTAGTAGACTTTTCCGCAGTCACCACCAAACCGTAAGGTCTTCCAAAATAACAGTAGACGAAATCGCTAAAATAATTGATGTTGTGATAGGAGGTAAATACGCATGCGCCGATGCCTTTCTCTTCCATGTGCGTCCGCAGCATGTTGAGTCTGCGGTCCATTTCTTGAGAGCTGAATGTTGGTTTAACCTAATGACGGTCAACAAAAAAACATTWAAAAAAAAAATTACTTTGACTTATTACCAAAGGTTGCATATCAGTATATTGTACTCCCCTCTGGAGTCTGAGGTTCGATTTCCGGACTCGACATCACATTTGAATGAATTTTGTTAGGTTTCTCCCTTGATTCGAGGCTTTCAGTTCTCCGGTCTTCCAGTTTTCCTCCCTCCTCACTACCTAAATCGGGTTCAATCTGTGAGTTAGTCATGCCCTGACTGAGATCAGCCCAGAGGTTGTTTCAGAGTTCAATCTGTGAGTTAGTCGTGCCCTGACTTAGATCAGCCCAGAGGTTGTTTTAGGGTTTGATCTGTGAGTTAGCCGTGCCCTGACTTAGATCAGCCCAGAGGTTGTTTCAGGGTTCGATTTGTGAATTAGCCATGCCCTGACTTAGTCTCCCCCACAGCCGCTTTCAGTGTCGTCACGCAACGCTTTCTCCCCTGATTAGCTAGTCAGGGGAGAAAGCGTTGCGTGACGACAATGAAAGCGGCTGTGGGGGAGACTATGCCCTGACTTAGATCAACCCAGAGGTTGTTTCAGGGTTCGATAAATCTTGACGCCTCGCTTGAGCGCTTTGTGTTTGACCAGTGAACCAATGTGTGGAAGATGGTGAATGGAATTTCGGCGGGAGAAGAGAGAGGTCAAATTGTTGTGACAAGTCTAATGTTAGTAACTCACCTTTTCGCCATTCTTGATGGTAAACATTCGTGGTAAAAAGTCGGATTGGTTGCTGAAACGACGGACTGATCCAACGACAGCCCGTATAAGACTGGATCCACGTGTTCTGAACATACTGTTAATGAGAATAACATGATGTCATGATGGTCGATGATAATTAAAGGAGATCTGCTTTGACCCATGATGATGGGTGATGATGATGATGGCGGTGATGATAGCGATGATGGGTGATGATGGTGGGTGATGATGATGATGGCGGTGATGAGAGCGATGATTATGGGTGATGATGATGATGGCGGTGATGATAGCGATGATGATGGTGATGATGATGGTGATGATGATGGGTGATGATGGCGATGATGATGATGGCGGTGATGATAGCGATGATGATGATGGCGATGATGATGGGTGATGATGATGATGGCGGTGATGATAGCGATGATGATGGTGATGATGATGGCGGTGATGATAGTGATGATGATGGTGATGATTATGGCGGTGATGATGATGATGTTGATAGTGGCGGTGATGACGGTGATGATAATGATGATGACTGACGACCAAACATGTCATTGAAGGTTGATAATATTCTAATACTGTTATGTAAAATATACTTAGTATAGCTGGCATTGCAGTGCATTGTGAAAATGTTTAA